AAGGTGAGCCGCGCTCTGTGCCCGGCGCTCTGTGCCCGGCGCTCTGTGCTCGGCAGGAGTCTCCCCGGGCCCCGTGCGTCCCGCTGTAAAGTGCCATGGTGCCCTGGCGCAGACGATGCGAAACCCCCGGTGTGCTGTAGCAAGAAAACAACTCCCCGAAAGGAGGTTATAGTCAGGTGGTGGTTGGCCTCTTCTCCCAGGTAACAAGTGACAGGATGAGAGGACATAGCTTTAAGCTGTGCCAGAGGAAGTTCAGGTTGGACATTAGGGCGAGTTTCTTCTCAAGAAGGGAGATGAGGCATTGGAACAGGCTCTCCCCAGGGAGGTGGTGGAATCACTGTGCCTGGAGGTGTTTAAGGACAGACTGGACATGGCACTTAGTGTCATGGTCTAGTTGACATGATGATGTTAGGTCATAGGTTGCATTCATGATCTCAAAGGTATTTTGCACTCTTAATGATTCTGTGACAGGGGAGACCCACGAGTTGCCCTGATATGGGGGGAGCTCTGGGGGTTAAATCACCCAGATCAACCCCCAAAATTCTTTGCCTTTTCTGGACAGAAATGTTATCTTAAGGCCTTAGAGAGTCGTTTGCCCATGCTGTGGGTGTGGTTTTCACAGAGGGCTCGCAGCTGTGGGTGATATTTGTTCATGAAGTGCTTTGGGGAGCATTTCCAGGGTGTTTTCACCATCACTGTGCTCTTGTGCTGCTCCCCAGGTTCTTGTGGTGGGCTGTGGGAACTCGGAGCTGAGTGAGCAGATGTACGACGTGGGAATGTGCGAGGACATCGTGAACATTGACATCAGCGACGCGGTGATCCGTCAGATGCAGGAGCGTAGCGGGAGCCAGAGGCCGAAGATGAGCTACCTGCTGATGGACATGCTTCACATGGACTTCCCTGATGCCCACTTCCAGGTGGTCCTGGACAAAGGCACACTGGATGCCCTCCTCACCAATGAAGAGGAAGCCACTCTAGCCAAGGTGGACCAGATGTTTGCCGAGATCAGCCGGGTCCTGCAGGTGGGAGGACGCTACCTCTGTGTCTCCTTGGCTCAGGCCCACGTGCTGAAGAAAGCAGTGGAATACTTCTCCAAGGAAGGCTGGGTCGTGCGTGTCCATCAGGTGGCTGGCAGCGGGGACAAGCAGCAGTTTGTCCTACCAGTCTTTGTCTATGTCATGACAAAGTTCAGGAAGATCTCTGGCTTGGCACCACAGATCCTGGAGATCTGCCCCGAGGAGCAGGACAAGCCGCTGCGGATGGAGAGTGCAGAGCAGCTGGTGACAGCAGTGAAGGACAGGCAGCATTATGCCCTGCTCTGCAGCCAGCTAAGCAAAACCCCCTGCAGGGAACAGGTTTCCCTGGATCTGTGTGACAAAGAGAGTGGGAAGCCTCGCTACACACTGCATGTGATCGACAGCCCCTCAGTGAAACCTTCCCGGGACAATCACTTTGCCATCTTCATCAGTGAGTACAGCTTCTTCTGCCTGCAGTGAGACAGTGCTGTGGCCAGGAGCTGCAAACTGCCAGCCATGCAGGCCCTGCTGAAATTGGGGCTGGAGAGGGAAATAATCCACTTGTGCAGGGTTCAGCTGATGTTTTAGTTCTGGCTTTGCGGTGGGACGTGTGTTTGCCTGGTGGTGTGAGCAGAGATCTGGCACAGAGCTTGCTGGCTGAGCGGGTGCCCTCTCATAGCAGAGGAGTGCTGCCTACCCTACTCCAAGGTGGGGATTCCTGCTTTGATGGTGGTGACAGCCACCATAGCAGCTCGCTGCATAAAGCCAGAGGGCAGCAGACACAGCTGGAAAGGCGTTGCTGGTCTCTGTGTGTGTTCTGACTTGCCAGGGCCAAACTGCTGGGGCTGCACTTCACTTTTGCACTCACACCTCACGGAGACATGTCGTGCTCTGCCAGCAGCACTGATCCCTCTCTGCATGCCTGCAAAGCTGGGGCTTAGCACAGCCTGGAGACAGGTCATGAGGCTGTTGGACACACCCCTCTTATGAGACATGGCTCTTCCAGCCTCCTGCATGAGCCTGCCCTAAACAGAAGAGATCCTCACTCTCGTGATGGTTGCAGTGCACAGCTCTAGTCATGCAGTGGTACCTCCTGATGTATTACCATTCCCTGTGGCTCCTCTCTTGGGGAGGCTGGGGTGGTTGCCCAGGAACCAGGACTGGCCCAGGCTGATGTCAGCCCCTTCTGCAGTCCCACAGGGCAGAGAAACCGAGTGGCTCTTTGGGACAGAGGAAGGGCGGAGGCAGCTGGCGGCCAGCGCAGGCTTCGGGCGCCTGGTCACTGTGGCCCTGCACAGGGAGCAGCACTACGAGGGCATGGCTGGGATCCAGGCGGAGCTGTCGGGGAAGGTGATGGAGCTGGCCCCGCTGGGCCTCCCTGCCCGCCAGCAGGTGAGCCCCCACTGCCCAGCCCCCTGGCTTGGCTTCCCAAATCTACAGCCAGGCTGGCACTCTGCCAGCGGCAAATCCCTCTTCTCTAAGGGACACCAAGGTGCCGTGTGTGAGCTGGCTGCATTGGTGGGCAGGAGACTGGCCTCAGGTGCAGCTCCTCTCTGTTTTCCCTCCAGCTGTCTGCCTTTGCTTGGAGGCAGGATTTGAGGTGCTTGTGTGGCAGGGTTCAGTGTGAAGTCCTTGCCCTCTAAAATCCAGCATTCCAAGAAAACCAGGTATCCCAAACCCTACTTAATTCTGGCTTTAACTTCTCCTGTTCCTTCTGTCTTCTCCTTCCTGCCCCAAACCTGCCTTCCTTCTCCAAACCTGAGTGCTTGCAAAAAGTCTTGCGGTGTCTTCTCCCTGTACCCCAACACATGTATAGGAGTGAAGCTGATGTCGCATGTGCAGGTGCCCAGCTCCCCTGTGACTGTCTGCAGCATGTCCTGCTGCTCCTGCACTGTGTTTGCTTCATCCTGGCTCTGTAGCCATGGTCAGGGCAACAGGAA